GCATCTACCTATATTGAGCCCAGGGATTAATTTCAGTGAAAACTGAAAGAGGAATAGGTAGACACAATGGTGTCTAAATGGGTGAAAAATTTGGGAGACTTGGCCTGTAACTAGAAAAGACCTGTCCAAAGAAAGATCACCCTGACAGAGCTCACATTACGTAAAACATTTGGCTATAGCTAATCAGTCAAAATGTACCTGACCATCCAATTAGCATTTGGGCACTGTCAGATTAGCTGTAACTCTGCTTTCGAGCTGTCTCTTGCAGGATGTATCTGGAAATATTGCTGCAGGAACTGGGTCATGACAGCAGGGGACAAATCTATAAGAATACCATTTCATTAGTTATGCTACTCATGCAGCAGCTAATTTGAAATGAAGAAAATACCTTACTAGTCAGTTCATGTAAATCTTTTGTGCAGGAGGTTTATGCTTTTATCTTGAAATACACTGTGTTTTAAATTTTCAAATAACTGTGTTTGGGCTTTTTAGATTTAATTTTCATTTGCTGAAATCCCACTACAGTAGGGTTAGCTCCTTTGTAACCGTAAGAGAAGCAAGGTTGTAAGGATATTCTATGTGGCAGGTGACAGCTCCAGAGCAGTAAATCAGGATTATATACTGAAGCTCATTAATTTACCCATTTAAGCAAACTTCTACAATTAATTTTTGTGTCTAGAGTGCTTTAAATTTTCTGCTTTCTTTTTAAGTTACAGCTGTGCCCCCAGATCTTTATACGCATGGGATAAATTCCTCTTGACTTCAGTGGAGTTCTACCAGCCAGAAATTTTGCTTCTGGCCTTCTTTGGGATTTAAATGGTGTGTGTTTGGAAGAAAACGTCAGATTAGACTCAGGAGAAGAAGAAATATGAAGAATACCCACATGTCTAAGCTATGAACCTAAAAAGGAAAGTAGGTGCTGAATTATTTTAATTTAAGCTACATTTTCTATTTGCTTGGAAATTCAAATGTGTCTTTAGCTTTCCCAGGTTAGATAATGTATCTGAAGCATTGTTTAGGACAGCAGATATTTATGAGAAAATATTCTATTGGAATCGAAATTTTTAGCATCTTTTGTGGTAAGTGTGGTTTTTTGGTCCTAAAATAAAACATGGCATTTTTAGGATAAATAAGGAGACTATTTTTTTTAAAAAAACCCCCAGTTTTCAGTAAGAAAGTCTCAAAGGAGAGTTTTGCTTTCCTTTTTATGGAAAACATTTTCTTGTCAAAGAACTTTGTTTTCTTAATTGTATTTAATAGCTGTGTTGCTCCTGCCATCCAGTTCCAATTATACTGATGTATCCTGATGCAACGTCTGTTAATCAATGTCCTTGCTAGCTCTTACATTATTAGCTCCCAGTTCCTTATTAGTGCTGCAGCTCCTGTTGAAGAGCTGGGGCTCTGGAGGGCTTGCACTTGGTTAGGTTGCCCTTGCAGATGCCAGGCAGAAATGTGGCTCTGTGAGGGCTCTGAGAAATAACAGAAATGAAGTTGTTAGGACACGTGTGTCTGTACAGTGGTGATTGATTAAAGGGTGACCAAAGGGTGGGGCAGATGACACCCTGACTCATAATGCATGTCAGTGAAACAGGCGTGTGGCTGGGTTGCCAAGGGATTGTGATAAGAAGAGTATTTCCCCTGTGAGCACTCTAAGGCTGTGGATTCTCTGGACAGCCTTGTTCCTCTTTTGAAAGCAAGACCTGTAACAGTGAGAAACAAGGATGTGTGTGTGAAAGAAGAGGTTCTGTATGAAAGAGAATCTACAGGTAACATGAAAGTTCCTCTTCCTAGGTGCTCACACAGGAAAACAGAAGATAAAGTTGCTTGCCACATGTTTTCTTTGCTCTGTTCTGGTGTTTTTTTCTCTCTTATTCTTTTCTGAGAAAGAACAGAGCTTCTCATCCCCTTTGTTTTTCAAAATGCATTTTTCCTGCTGGCAAGTACCAACTGTGAGCATTCTACTGTAACCAGTAGAATCCCCTTTTCACTATGTTTATGGACAAGATGAAAACTATGCTGGCCAAAACACTCTTTCCAAGGAAAAGTGTGTCTCTACTAACTGATCTGAGCATTATCTAGTTTCTTCCTTTAGAATCCTTGTTAGCTTGGAAAGGAGGATCAGGCTTTTGCTCAGTGCATACAGCAATCCTAATGACTTGGAACTTTTTTCTACTCCTAAGAAAATGAAACATTTGGTACTATTTACTACACAAGACATTTTCTTTATGAAGTATTATCTAAAAATAGTACATATCTTATCCAACAGAACAGCAATGAATGCTCATAAAACAAAGTGTGAGTTCATGATTATTTGCAACTTCTCATTAGGGTGTGAATAAAATCCTTTAAACGCTAAATTGTTGATTTGTTTCTTCAAGCTGTTTATCTAGCTCTGATACTCACATGCCTAGCTAGATGCATCATTATCTTCAGCATAAGAAGGACTTCAAATAAGGCAGTGCTGTGAACTGGGTTGTCTGGTTCCTTCTAAGTGTTTGCCTGCTGCAAAACACAGAAAATGTGGGGGTTTTCCTTCATACTTTGTCTTTACACTCTGAGTTGCACAGGTGGCTTTATTATCAATAGTAACAAAGAAAAGCAGAAGATGATAAAAAATTATTTTTAAAGAGAAAATTGCACAATATCAAACTCTGTTTAAGAATAGTTATTGAAGTGCTTCTGCTACCAGTTCCAAGTATGCAATATTCCACAGCAGAATTTGTATCAGTTACAGAGGAAGGAGCAGGTACTGGAAATTCCATACAATTAAGAATAACTGTTTTAGAGAATTTTCTGCACAGAACTGAGCCACTGGCTTATGCTCTTTTGGGCTGATCTAGTGTTATCTATAAGGGAGGAGGGTTTAGGGTCCAAGAATATCCGTCATGAAAAGTGACAGTTTAGGGTATGTTGGGTATGTTATGCCTATAGGCTGTTAAATGTAGAAATTTCTGCTATTTTCTCACTAATACTGTTCTTTAGGCCATCTAGCTCAAAGATAATTTTACCTACATCATGTCTTTGATGGCAAGCATTTTGAAGCAGAAGGTCTATTTCTCTGCAGCAATAGAAGGCACATAAGTAAGTAAAATTATAAAAGCAAAGATACAGAAGGCACATGGTAAACCTTAAAATAAATCCAGCCTCTGTTGCAGCAAACTGGTGGTATCTAGATGTCTTATCTGCTGTATTATCCTGTAGAAGGCTCTTAATGCCTGCAGTTTCACAAAGTACAAAGCAAAGACTGAAACAGGGCTGTGGCAAAAAGTTCAGCAAACAGAGGTGTTAATGCCAGCTATAAATGATAAGGAATATGGAGGTTGTAGTGATTAATTCATGTAAGGACTTAAAGACAGAGATACGTGGAGGAGCTTCACAAGTGTCAAGCATCAAAATGTACTGAAGAGAAAATAAGCTTTGATTGATTTTAAATGATGGATTTGATGTCAGTGGCACCAGAAGAGCAGGAACACTTAGCTTTTCCTGTATTGGTGTTTTTATTCTTTTTAATTAAAAAAAAATAAATAAAAATAGTAGAGGTGTTGAGAAAAGCAACTGACATGGCAAGATATCTTCTTTCTTACTGGAGAGGAGTTCTGAAACCAGTATTTGAAGGAACAAGAGGCATCTTTGTTAAGATATATGTAATTTTTTTTAAAATATATATTTTTTTAAATGAATGGTACTTCCACAGTACTCACATTGGCTTGTGGCTACTACCAGAGGTAAAAAGACTCCACTCTGCTGAAGGACACAAGGATGACTGAAAGAAAATACTAAACTGTAAACCAGTCTCTAGAGGAATAGATAGTAAATGAAGTGGGAAAAAACTCAAAACAAATTTGCTGGAGAAAACTCCTTTAGTCCTTCATTTACTAACATAATTGGTGCTATATGTGGATTCAGTGTTTTTCCCATACATATCTTCTTGAAAAATGGGGAAGAGAATGATCTAATGCATGTCTTCTATTTCCATATTTTCACATCAGTTTAACTACCCCATAACTCGCAGAAACATTTTTTCCAGTGCTGTTCCCCAGTGGCACAAGACACATGACTTTAAATGTACCAAGGACTATCTTTTTGTATCAGTATATTAGGTGAACTGATACTTTATTTAAAGAAAAAAAAAAGTGTGGATGAAAGAACTATGAATTCAAGATGTTAAGGTTAATAGGTCACAATCTAACCTAAATAAAACTCTCAATGAGAATTTAGGCTGGGCAAGGACTGTGGGATTTAGCCTTAAGAGAATTAACAAGGTACATCAGGTCTCGTCACTATTCTGATTGCCAGAAGCCTGTCTGGACAGTGTCCAGAAATACATTCTCAGTCACTGCAGATTAAAGCAGCTAATGCAGGACATTATGTGTGCTGTTTTACATTGTCTGTTCTATTATCTGGACAGATACAGACAGAGAAAATCAGAGGGAAAAATCCGGAATTATTTTAATCAGCTGATGTTTTTCTCATATACTTCTTTTCTGGGAAAGTAATTATTTTCATGCAATTGTTAGTTGAGTTTTAAAAATACCATTATAGTTCTTTCTTCACCTTGGGAATCCTTTTTGATTTTTTAAAGCTGTTGTGTATCCCTCCCGCTTTAAAAAAACTCTCATAAAATGTTTACAAGTCATGTTTATATTCCCATAACATTTTTCATTATGCTGTGACAGCTTCACTGAAAAATTATTTTAATTATCTCAAAATGAATCGCACAAAGAGGGAATATGAAAATATAAATCTTAAGTCTGACTGTACTTTAATTGCTTCAGCTAATGAAAGAGGCATGAGATATCTACACAATGCAAAAGCTAAATTGCATGAACAATATAACCAGTATTTGAAATGTGCTGAATTCATAGTACTCACTCTGCTTCAGTGGGAAAATATGGGGGCTGTACCTGGTTTGCAGTGCTTGTTTTCTGCTGGTATGGCAAACTAATTTCAATGGGAAATGGTGCTGAAAACACCTAATAATTATCTCTTCTGCTCTCTAGGTCAGCAGCATTGAAACATTAATGAACAGAATGAAGTAAATTTATGTTCCAGAAGCTGTGGGTCCTCTTCTGCAACCTGTCCACAAGAGCTCAGTAATGTGAGTAGTTTTTATACAGCTGTAATGTGAGATGATAATTTTATATGGTATTAAACCATATCCATAAAATGTCCATTGACTACAGTAAGTAACCTAATTCTACCAAAAAAATTGACAAAGCAAGGTAAAAATGGGCACCAGGAGGCAATAGAAAGATTTTAAATATATACACATGTAATGGGTCAAATCTGTTGGTCTAATTAGGTATTGTTTGTTCTGATAGGAGAAATTTTTGTCTCATCAAATCCTAACCTTTTGATCTTTGACAGAATTTTATCCAAGACATTGCACATATTTTATTTTTACAGACTTCTGAACTTTCAACTCTTAGAACCTCTTGGTTGAAGGTGATGAATTTAACAAAGAACAAAAGTATGACAGAAAAGCAGGGTTCAAACTGTAACTTTGTCAGTGACTCTTCACCAACATAATGCAGGAATGCTGCAAGGTTATTAGCCAACAGATCTCTCCTCTGTAGTCTAAAAATATCTCCCAATTGGGTGCCTCAGTGAAATGCCATGTGTTATAAATGGCAAAGCTGATTTCCATCTTACAGGGATAGTGAGGAAGGGCTGCAGGAGCTTTGATATTTAGCAGAAAGGTAACGGACATGTTGCCACACACATAGCAGCCCTAAGTAATAGTTTTCTTCCCTTAGATTAGATGCTTCTTATCTTGATAAGGTCATAAGTCAAAGTCCTGCCATTGCTCAGCATTGTCTTTAAAGGGTTTGGGTTTTTTTTTTTTTCTGGGTTTTTTTGGGGGTTTTTTTTTTTTTTTTTAGTGTGAGGATAATCATCTTTAATAAGTCTTCAATCTCAGAGGGTTTTCCTTTGGTTCACAAATATTGCACCGAGTTGTAAATCTGTGTGATTAGTGGCAGGCATTAACAGAACATGCTGACTCAGGAAATTAGTAATGGTTAGGAGAGGTTTTCTCTTAGGTCAAATCAGCAGTGACAGGACATTTTCCATCTGATGGCTGGCTTAGGTTCATACAGCTGGGGATGCTTTAAATTCGTGCAGCACATCACATCTGCCACTAGGAAGTTTTACCTGCTGTCTTTCCTACAGTAACAGTTTTAGTCACTGTAGCAGTGGGCCAGATTTGTCAGTAGTGTAAATGAATGTAATATAACACTCACTTCTGCCAGCAGTTCTTCTGATTGCCTGTGCCTCTAATACCACGACACTGAGGCATTGAGCCAAAACTAGCAGCCTTTTCTGGAAAAGCTAATTTATGTGTTGTTCATGGGAGAAAAGATGTGGACATTTGTAATAAATGTTCTCTCTCACATCCAATAAAAACATGCAAGACAATATTAATTATTAATTTCTCACAGTACATAATCAACCAAGATGCACTATGTAAACAGGATATAAAGTATGTTAATACGAAGCTATATTATTTATAACTGTTAAATATTTTTCTCCCAATAATGTCTTTTCTAATTCAGATTTTTTTGTCTCTACTTCCCACCTTGCAGTCCAGCATTGCGTCACTTTACTGTATTGCCTTAACCAGAGTGATAATCTGGCTATTCGTGAACCCCCTTGCTACAGAGAGCATCATTAGCTTCCTCTCTTCCATGGTAATGTGATCCCTTGGGAGTAACCTCTCATGTGCTATTGAAGCAATGCTTTGGCTGCTATTGGATCTTCCTGTTATTTTGTTGGTTTCATTTAAATTTCAAGTATTATAAATACAGAGTTCATATAGAAGTCAAATGAACAGTCAGTAATTTCAGCAGTTATGTTGCAGACAACAGTTACATATATATGTCAGATTAACTAGATGATTTTACAATCTCATTGAATGAATATGAGTAGATTTTCTTGAATTGAACATCTACCTTGTAAATTTGTTTCAAGATTCACCTAAGGAATATCCCACCAGTGAGCAGCAACATCTGTATTCTTCTTTCTAAATATTTAAACTAGCTAGATATTATTTTCTGTTCGTCAAGACTTTCAGGGCTTTATAGTCTTTCTAGGCTGTAGCTTGGAACAAATAGTTTAGAATCTGTTATTGTGTGCTCTTGCTACTAATTCTGTTTAACTATAATTGATGTGTTTACTTAGCTCCCTCCAGTGACTTGATGAGCAAATAAGTCCATGGTGTGTTATCATTCTAGATATTGCAAAACAAGTTACCAGAAAAGGCAAGATCAGTTCTTTAAGATGATATTATATGTAGCATTCTGCAGCATGATGACTAAATACTATCTGCTAAACCCATTTGAGATTATAATAAACAGAGCATCTAAGATTTACCACATAATTCTACTATTATTTATTATCAATACTTTTTTATCCTTGGCAGAATTAATGTGTGAATTTCAACATTAAGTGGGAGTGGAGAAGCTCCACACTTCTAAAAGAGGATTAATATTTGTAGGAGAAAAAGGAAGAGGTTCAGAATCTGAATTCATTTTATGAGCTGTATTGAAGATGCTTCTTCAATCTTTGTAATGATATGCAGAAAAACACTAGCTATGGAAACAAAAAGTATTATTAACTGTATCCTGAGGAAAATCTGTCTGCTTTTACTAATGTTAGACAGAACAAATTTTACTGAGCTGGGGTCCATTTGTGAAAATGGTACCATTATGAGAAATATATTGGAAGAACAAAAAATGCAGTTGTTTATGAGCTAAATTGAATCAGGAATGCTCTTGGAGCTGAAAAGCTATGGAGAAGTCTGTGCAGACAAATTGCAGCAGTATTCATAATAGGAACAGGAAAAAATTACTGTATAAAGAAAACTGATTAGATTCTCAGAGGGAACTTTTAGTCCCATTGAAGCAAATGGAAATCATGCAGCTGATTTCAGCTGTACCACAATTTAAATATGTGAGGACGAAGGTTTGGGAGAGTTTCTTTAGGCTTATGTCTCCCCCACTGAAAGTACATCCTTAAAGATTTTAATTTTAGAGGATTGTGCTTTCAGTGTGAAAAAAGGTTTTGTGTTTTTTTAAAAATGTCTTAATACCCCACCCCAATTCCTTAGGTGCATCAATAAAACTGAACCAAACCAAACTCAAAAACTAGCCAAATTTGTCATGCTGAGACACATTCTCAAGAGTTATAATTTGTTATGTGATTTACTGTAGAATTTAGGAGGTCTCCCTGAGGACCAAGTTATCACTGTATTAGGCCAAAACCCTCATAATATAGTGCCAGTCCAAAGAATTCAGAGAATATGAGAAGTTAGTGAAGTTACTTCATGAACTGCAGCCAGTCTAGGCAATAGCAGAAATTTAAATTCTGGCTAAGGCTGTTAGCATCTCATTTTCATCCAAAATAAAGGGAAAAAGCCAAGAAATTTTTATTTTCTTGCTTACTTCTCTTTTCTACACTTGGCTTTTCTCCTCTGCCTTATAACTTACTGTATGTTCAGTGGAAAAAACAAAGAAAGCAGATAAGAAGAATGAGGAACAGAGGAATAATGTGAAAACAAATTTACATTATCTTGAAATGATAAAAAGTTGCCAAAATTGCTAAAAAACAGAAATGAAGTTTCCACAGGGATATAACCTGTGGGAAAAATTTCAAACAACTCCAGTGTGTAGAGGTTGATCTACACCTGATGTGTACATCTGTAGAGCTTACGGAATCATAGTTCAGAGTACAGTGACACAGGAGGCAGAACAAGGTCTATTCCCTGACCACTATTTTTTATAATTTACAAGTACCAAAGCCAGTTTTAGAAAGTGTGAAAAAAGCTAGTGAACATATTTTACAAAAACATATGAACTTTCCTGTGGAGATTAGATAAAATTAATTCAAACAAGCAATTGTCAGGATATAGAATGTCCTGAAATCTTGGGACTGGATATTTGTTTTTTAAAAGTGCTTATTAGTGATTTTCTGTACTAGGAATTTTATAGTAGAAATTATTTCCTTATGAGACACACGAGTTTTCAGTGTGCAGTATGGTAATACAAAATACATTGTATTCTTATTACAACTGTCAGTTGAAATAATATTAACATTTCATGAACTTTAAGCCATTCAGTGGGGATTTTTGTCTGTTCCTGCAGGGGGGAATGTATGTGTGTATATGTGTGTGTGTGTCTGTGTCTATAAAGTGTAACATCTAGTTCTGCTGGAAATATCCATAATTTCACTGTAATTGCCATGGACCTGCATAATTTTACCCAAAGTGAAGCACTGTCTATGATTTCTATGCTTTTATGCAATGTGTAATAAATTAAGCAGGAAAAGCTGGGTCAGAAAGGTTGGCTTTGTGCTGTGCTGTATTCAGTACAAGAGCATTCATTGCTCATTCATAACTCTGGTTCCAGAGGGAATGCTGTTCTGTGTTTTGTGCCATTGTGCCCAGAGTTGGGGAGTCACTGCCATGCTCAGAATATCTTGCAGCTTCAAGCTTCCTACAGTTGCTTCTGCTGCAGCTCAGGCCTACTTACAGACCAATGGCAGCCACCATCACTGTGACCTGACTTGTCTGCTGCTCCTTAGGGGGATATTGGGGACCTTTTTCTGCTCTTCTCCTATAAATTTAATTGTTCAGGGAGACAGAGCTGATGCTGGGCATTGTACTTGGGCACCGAATGCCAGGCCAGGGCCACAGAGGCCTTGGGAGTCCAGAGTTTGAGATCATGGCTCTAATCCATGAGACACAAGTCTGGAAATCAGACCAGTGATGAAGTAGTGGTACACCTTGTGTCTCAAGAAGGAAACTTGTCTTCTGTACTAGTTCACACTGAATCCCCAGGACAGGTGGTCTTGTTCCTGCTTAGAATGAGGAACTTCACAGCAAACTTTGTGGGCAGGAGCACCCTGTTACATATAGCCAAGTCTATGATGGGTCAGATGATGCAAGAGCATAATCTTTTCATCAGCAAGTGAAGAAAAATAAAAATGGGCCTCCAATTTGTAGACCAAACTACATCTATGTAAAAACAGCATAAATGCTTTAGTTCATTTGGCCAGTGAGACAGAAGAATTGTTTATACTGGAGTTATTACAGATAAGAGT